GAGCGAGCGCATCCTGGGTTTTGGAGGCAAGGAGTTCCCACCCCCACCCTGGAGCTGTGAGTCCTAGGAAAAATCACTTCAGCTCTAGTTGCCAGTTTTGTAAAGTCTTGTTGCCAGTTTTGTAAAGAAGGGCTTGTACCCCAGCTCTTGACACCTTCGTGCTATGGAGCAGTAGTGAGTCTCTTGGGGCCTCAGTTTCCCCATCTGTGGGGGGGGCAGTGGCAGGGACCACCCTAGAGGTTTACTATGAGAGTGGAAGGTACATCCATGGTGGTTTACATCTGAGTCACACCCTGTGTCTCCTAGAGCCTGGAGGATGAGGGGCTGGCCAGGATCCCTTGGCCAGAATCTGGGGAACCATTCACTCTCTCCTGGGTGATGGCATTTGTCAGGGACTTGAGGTCAGGAAGATCCTATCATTTGACACTTATTTGGAGGCAACTCCATTTCCTTAGCTCAGGGTACACCCCCTGCACCTACCTGTCCCCTGCCCGGGTTCTTCCCAGGCGCCCTGTGATGCGCGCGCATCACCCACCAGGTGGCGCCAGCGCCCACGCGTGAGTTCCTTCCAATTCCTCACGCAAGGCCTCTTGGATTTTTCTTCTACCACCGGATGTGATCAGGAGCTACTGAGAAATTCCTTCTGGTACCCAGAGCCACACCATGAGTCCCCACCCGCCACTTGGAAGCACTCAGATTACTCCCTGCTTGTTGCGGGGGAGGCAGTCATCGCACACAGAATAGTGCCACCCTGGACCCCGCCCCCTTTCTCTCCTCCCTCCCCTGCAAAAGCTCTCACCCACACAGTTACTCCCGCAGCTGGAAAGCTGCTGGCCCGGCTGGCTGCCCGCGTGGTGTGGAAAACAAGACGCAGGAGCTGGAGGAGGCCAGTCTGCACCGAGCTGTGACCAGCAGCCCTCCAACCCCCCACTCCCTCCTACACATGCGCCATCCCTCATCCCCAAGGTTTTCTGGAGAGGCTGGGGCTGAGTGCTGGCCTAGCATACATAAAAATCTAAATTTAATTTCCAGTATTCATAAACCTGGCAGTGTGGCACATGAGATAATCCCAGAACTGGGGAGTTGGGAGCGGTGGCGGGGGGCGGAATCAGAAGTTCAGGGTCATCCTTGGCTATATAGTAAGTTTGAGGCCAGACCAACCTGGACTACATGAAACCTTATTTTAAAGAAGAAAAAAAAAAAACCCAGAAGTTTCCTGGAGCCCTTCTACGAACCCCACCTTCCCCACCTCCTTATGTCCAAATCCTCCTTCATTTGTCCTCACGGTCTTCTCTGCTCAGCTCCTGAGTGCTGGGGCTAACCGTGTGCCACCATGGCTGGCCCTGTATCATATTTATACAGATTTCGCTCACACCCCCGTAATAGACTATGAGCATATCAGATCTGCTGTGCTGTTTCTCCTAGACGCTGCCTACCTCGACTCCCCCAGCAAGAGAGTGATTTTCCCCAGGGTGGAAGTGTACTGCCAGATAGAGGTTGCCCTTGGCCACGAGCCCCCAGCTCAGCGGGACCAGCTTGAAGACTCCTCACTACCCCATGCTCAGGGGGCTCCCCAAGAGGACAGGACGGATGGCCATTCTCCAGCTTCCCCATCAGTGCAGACACCCGAATCCAGGACCAGCGGGGTTGTGGAGTCACCAGGGGGCTCCTCATCTAAGCAGTCACCGGCATCACCGTCGGCCCCATCCCAGCCATGCCCGGAAATGAGTCCCGGGCTGCCCACTGACCCCAGGGACACTGACCCAGTGAATCCTCAAACCCCAAGCCTGAAGGAAGGAGTGAAGGATGGCTGTCAACCGGACTCGGCCGCTGACGACAACCGAGGCACAAAAAGCCTGCCACCAGTGTCGCACACCTCAGACTCAGCGGCAGACGCGCACAGCTCAGAGGCTGGATCCTCAGTGCCTGAATCATCACCTGAATCCCCTCATTGTTCTGGACTGCTGCTCAGACATCCCCAGGCAGCCACAGCAGCAGGGGCAGCCTCCAGACTTCTGCCCTCAGGTCCTTCAACACCACCTGCCCTGCCACCCGTGGAGGAGCCCAGCCCAGAGCGACCCACAGGTATGAGTCTCCCTGCTCTGTCCCTTGAGACTAGCACTTAACAGTGTAGAACTGAGAAACACCAGTTAGTTAATTAAAGGCATGCACCACCATTGACTGGATAAAATAAAATAAATCTTAAAGAAATAAACCAGGCAATGGTGGTGCATGCCTTTAATCCCAGCACTCAAGAGGCAGAAGCAGGCAAATATCTGAGTTCGAGGCCAGCCTGGGTTACAGATCAAGTTCCAGGACAGCCAAGACTATACAGAGAAACCCTTTCTCAAAAACCAAATTAATTAATTTTGATTAATTAATATTAATTAAATAAATATTAATAAGGTTAATATTGATATTAAAGGCCTCACTATAATAAACCATCTATATTTAGAACTCACACAATTTATACAATGTTTAACCAACAAACGTAAACACACGAGGACCCAAGTTTGATCCCCAGAACCCACATAAAGTCTGTGTACAGCAGCAGACGCCTGTAGCTAGCACTGGGGCCACGAAGGTAGGCAGATCCATGGAGACCCTGGCTGGTGAGCCTAGGCAGATCTGTGAGTCTCTCTAAAAAATCTAATTGAGAGGCTGGAGAGATGGCTCCTGCTTAAGAACACTGACTGTTCTTCCAGGGGACCTGGTTTCGGTTCCCAGCACCCACATGTCAGCTCACAGCCATCTGTAACTCTAGTTGCAGGGGACCTGACGCTCTCACACAGACAAACATACAGGCAAAACACCAATGCACATTATATATATATACACCCAGCGCCCACCTCCACACTAACACTCACTCAGTGCACACACGCATGCACACACACACACACACACACACAATAGTGGTCCTATTAATACTCTCCATTTCAAGATGAAGGCCTGCTTACTCGCACAGGTAGATGTTCAGGCCTCAACCCTGGGAATTCATTATGAAATTCTAGCACAGCACATTCAGGAAAGCCTCTGATGTCACCGCAGGAGCCAGCATGGTCTGCCATCCACAGCTGCTGCCCTGGGTCTCCACCAGATCCCCTTGGATCTTACCCTTGAGGAGAGCACTCTTTGCTGATTCTACTGTTCACATGTTTCATCATTATTATTATTATTATTATTATTATTATTATTATTATTATTATTATTAGCTTTTCAAGACAGGGTTTCTCTGTAGCTTTGGAGCCTGTCCTGGAACTAGCTCTTGTAGGCCAGGCTGGCCTTGAATTTACAGAGATCTGCCTGCCTCTGCCTCCTGAGTACAGGGATTAAAGGCGTGCGGCACCACCGCCCAGCTCATTTCCTTATTATTTTAAAATACTTTTATTAACCCTTTGAAATGTTCACACATGTGAACATGCATGCGTGTATTTTGTGTTTTTATTTGTTGGGTCTAGTGAGATGCCTCCCACAGTACATGTGTGGACGACTGCTTGGGGGAGTTGACACCCTTCTTCAATCACAAGGGTCCCAAGGACGGAACTGCCTCTGTCAGGCTTGGTGCTTTTATGTCTTGAACCATCTTGATGAGTCTCTGCAGCGCACAACGCCCGTCTGCGCTCTATGCACTACCATACCGTTCCCAAGCTTCGGGCAAGGGGCTGGAGGTTGAAACACACAAAGACACACACACAGACAGAGAGACACGGACCTCTAGTCAATGGTAAGAAGCCCTTTATTCCATAGCACCAAGGAGGCTTATCTACCCAACACAGTCAGGTGGGCCAACAGGTGAAAACCTTATCCTCTGATCCTCAAGGCAAGGCAACAAGTGCTCGTGAAGCAGAGCTGGTAAACAACTTTGACACAGCTTTCAGTAACTCAAATCAGAAGGAAAGTAAAGATCTCTAGCAGGGAAGAGCAGCTGGAGGCCAGGACTCCAAATGGTCCCAACAGTCTCTTTTGCTGTTGTTTTTAAGATTTAAAAATCTTTCCAGAGACTGGAGAGATGGCTCAGCGCTCAGGACCACGGGCTCCTCTTCCAGCACCCACACAGTGTCTGGCCTCTGTTTCACTGCACACAGACATATATACCAGGCCTTTTAGGGCCACCAACCAGCTCCCAAATCATGTCATGGAGACTTCTGAGTTATGCATGCTCAGCCTAGCTTAGGCTCAATACTGGCTAGCTCTTTTAACTTAAATTAGCCTGTTTCTCTTTATCTACCTTCTGCCTTGGGGCTTTTTTTCTTTTTTTTTTATAGATTTATTTATTATGAATACAATACTCTGCCTGCATGTGTACCTGCACCCCTGAAGAGGGCACCAGATCTCATTACAGATGGCTGTGAGCCACCATGTGGTTGCTGGAATTGAACTCAGGACCTCTGGAAGAAGAGTCAGTGCTCTTAACCACTGAGCCATCTCTCCAGCCTTTTACTTTTCTTCTATATGTCTACTTTCACTGCTTCTGTCTGGCGGCTCCCTAGCTTCTTGCCCTGGCATCTCCCTCTCTTTGCCTTCATTCTCTCCTTTTTTTTCTATCCTATTTATTCTCTCTACCTGGAAGCCCCGCCTATTCCTCTCCTGCCTCACTATTGGCCGTTAAACTTTTTATCAGACCAACCAGGTGCCTTGGGCAGGCAAAGTAACACAGCTTTCCATAACTAAACACACATCCTTACATTGTTAAACAAATGCAACATGCCTTCACATACTTAAATATTCATAACAGTCATACATGTAGGCAAAACACACATACACATAAAATTTTTTAAAAAGTTAAGAAAATTATGTTTGCTAAGTGTGGTGGTGTACACCTTTAATCACAGCACTTGGGAGGCAGAGGCAGGAGGATCTCTGTGAGTTCGAGGCCAGCCTGGTCTACAAAGTGAATTCCCAGATAGCCAGGACTGTTACACAGAGAAACCCTGTTTGTAAAAAACCAGAGAACAAAAAAAATACCTCTAAAAATTGGTTTTCTTGACAATGGCTTCTCACTATTTTGTCTCTGGCTATCCTGGAACTCACTCTGTAGACCAGACTGGCCACAAGTTCACAGAGATCCACCTGCCTCTGATTCCTGAGTGCTGGGATTAAAAGTGTGCTGTGTCATAACGTCTGGTATCTCTGCAAAGTGACCCAGTACCCCCTCCTGTCACCTCACTCCTCCTTGTGTGTTCACTCCGGCTGCAGGGCCTCCTGCCTCTCCACAGCTGACCAGCTTGGCAGCACCGGGCACCAGGAAGCAAGCCCTCCACAAGCCTCTGGTGTAAGTTCCCCAGGACATGTTCTCGCCTTTGCTCAGGGGAGGGGGCCAGCTAAGTGAGGTTTCCACCCTTATGACTGCCTAGGCCCCACCGGCTCTTCTTGTCTGTGGGACAATAATTTACCCTTTGTGCCCTCTTCTCCCCAGTGAGGGGCTATGTGGAACGTGCCTGTTGATGGGGTGATGCCATCCCTCTGCCTCCCTCCTGCGCACACTGGGTGCACTCTGTTCTAGGGCAATGGGAGTGAATGCACTCCTGGCCCAGGGTCTCGTTTTGGGTGAAGCCAGGGTTGGAAAAGTCTAACAGCACCTTAGGTGACCCCTGACGGTGTGATGAGCGCTCAAATCTCTCTTCTGAAGTTTATTAAGATGTACCTGCTTCCCCATTATGTATACTTTCATCTCTACAACTCTGTGTGTGTGTGTGTGTGTGTGTGTGTGTGTGTGTGTGTGTGTGTGTGTCTGGAGAGATGGTGGATGGGAACACAAACCGTTCTTGCAGAGGATCTGGCCTAAGTTCCGGTCCCGGGCACTGGGCAGCTCACAGCAGCCTAGACCTCTAACTCCAAGGGATCTGAAGCCCTCTTTTCATCTCTGTGTATGCATACTTACATGTAGACACACATACACATACAAAAAAAAAAAGAAAATCTTAAAAAAAAATCACAGTTTGTGTAAATTAAAATATATAAAGTATATATTGTGTTTGTGTGATTTTAACCTCTTCGTGTCTACATTTAGTAGGTATAAGTGTGGGTTCTGTTTCCCTCTTGGCCTGGTATTGTTCAGATAAATAGTTAATGATAATCAGGGATGTTTGCTGGGGAACGCCAACCTTGGCCAATGCCGCTGGGGGTCTCCTGAGCTGGGGCAGGACTCTGTGGTGACAGACACTGTTCAGGCCATAACAAACCACCTCCTTGCTTCTTTGCCTAGGGACAGTCCTGCTGTGGATTCAAACAGGGCAGACAAGATGTTCAAGAAGAAACAGAAGACAAAGGCCACCAGAGAGTTCTTCCAGAGAAACCCTCGCTCCAAGAAGCCAGCCAGCAAGCTGCAGTAAGTGTCTGAGACAGAAAGTTCTCCTCTGCTGGGCAGGCTTGGAGCTTAGTTAGGACATCAGGGCTCTCCGAGTCTCCATCTTCTGACCTGAAAAACAGGGGTGACCCGGCTCATAAGCCGCTGAGGGTACAGCGCAAGCCACCCAGTGAACGGGAAAGCATCCAGAAAACAGCAAGTGTCAGGACGGGGTCCTGGAGGTTTGCGCTATTGCTCAGCTGCTGGTTTCTGTTGGTCCTTTTTTTTTTTTTTTTTTTTGAGCAGAGTTGCGCTGACTGTCCTAAAACTCACTATGTAGACCAGGCTGGCCTCAGACTCAGTGTGCAGCTAAAGCTGACTTTTGAACTCTTGACCCCCTCCTGCTTCTAGCTCTCGAGTCCTGGAATTATAAGCACATGACAACATGCCTGGCTCACGTCTTCTTCTGACAACAAACACCTTACCTGTACCAACAGGACGTTGCTTGTGGCCATCCTTTAGTCCATTCAGTAGAAATTAAATTTTTGTTTTGACATTTATTTCCTTTCTGTTTGTGTTTGGGCACATATATGAGTATATGCCACAGAGATCAAAGAACAACGTTGTGGCATTGGCTCTGACCTTCCATCTTTGGGTCCCTGGGATTGAATGCAGGCTGACAGACTTGGGGGTACAAGCCTCTACCCACCGAGCCATCTTACTAGTCCTAGACTTTTCTTTCACGTCCCTCTTGGGTTCATGAATGTGTATTTTATTCAAGCGCCAAGTAGCTCCTCTTCTCACATAGTCGCTGGACCCATCTACTCATGACTGACTGCAGAGAGGGCGGCATGTACCGGATGGGTGAGGGCCGACGTTCAGAGTCCCTTCTGTGGATGCTCCATCCACAGCAATGTTAGCCAGGAGCTGGAGAAAACCCCCTTGGGTCCAGTTGGGACCCTTGAATAAGGAACTTTGTCACCATGTAAAGAAATAAATATAACTTTTTGTTGCTGTTGTTTTTGAGACAGGGTTTCTCTGTAGCTTTGGAGCCTGTCCTGGAACTAGCTCTTGTAAGCCAGGCTGGCCTCCGAAGTGCTGGGATTAAAGGCATGCGTTACCACTGCCCAGCCTAAATATAACATTTAAATGAAAAACAACAAAACCTATTTGTGAAGGTTCAGGGCTAAACACCGAGTTTAACTCTGAGGTGGGCTTGGCAGGATCTTGTAATTTTCCAGAGAGAGCAAGCGACTACCCTGGGGCCACACCGCAGGTGAGAGTAGAGTTTGGAACTCTAATTGCTCTTCTTTTTCCCCCTCACGCATGCGTCCTGGGCTTCTGGAATCCAGGTCTGCTCCTTGTCCACTGGACTTTCCTGTACTCTCCACTTCCAAGACAGTTTGGGTCACCTACAAACCTCATCCCAGTCGGATCCAAGAATACAGCTGCCCTGAGGTAAGGAGTCCCTCTGGGTGTCCGCCAGGGTGTCCCTGCCTCTCCAGATGAGTGTGTATCGACCTGAGCAATGTCCTCGACTCCCATTTCTTCCTGGTACAGCCACAGTCAGCTCTAGAGAACAGCTGGGAGCCAGGCGTGGTACAGGCCTTTAACCCCAGCACCTGGGAAGTGGAAGCAGGTGTGTGTGTGTGTGTGTGTGTGTG